ATTGAATTTTAAACATATATGTTTAGATGTATATACTTATTATTTTAAGTGTTTTCCTTTCTGGAATTAAAGTATAAAATATATTTCCTTTCAATGACTATATATTGAATGAATATATGACTATATATTGAATATATTGAATGAATATATGACTATATATTGAATATATTGAATGAAATATATTTAAAAATTCGTATATACACATTGTATGTTAATATATTTTATATTTATAATTTCATTTACATATATTTTATATGTAAAGTTAATTTCATACAACTTACCTTATTCATAGTATTTTATTACATATAACTTTACTCATAATACTTACTTTCAAAGACTGAATATGTCAAATGTGTTATAAAATTACTTTATATTATATTATATTATACTTTATATTATACAATACATTTTATATAAAAACATTTTGTAAACAAAGTTTTATATTCTGTACTGTTATATATTCTATAATATATTCTGTGCGAAGTTGTATATTCTGTAGTTTTATATCTGTACTTCAAAACGAAAATATTTATTGTGAGAAAATTGTCAGACTTAAAATAATTGTTTTGCTAAGATGATATAATAAATGTTTTTATAATAAAAAAACAAATAAATATAACGGATGCTTGGTATTGGCTGGCTTACACTGTATTTTCATTGCACTCATTCTAATTAATTACAATGAAACATGACGAATAACATTTTTCTAGATTTTGAATTTTAATGATTTTCTACTGTATGTTGTTGAAACTTACTGATATTTTGCTGATTTTCAATGAATATATTGCTGAAATCGTAACGAAGATGAGTCAATTGATAGAATTTTTCAACAATTTTCAGCACATTTTATTATGTGTTTCAGCAAATTGCATTATATGTTCAGCAAAATTTTTCCATCAAGGTATATATTGGAAATATAACTGACATGTGGCAGACTCATAAGAGAAATAACGGATTATATATTACGGATTATATATGATTTTATTTCAGTAAAGTTGCTATCTAATTTATATACATTCATGTGATGATACATCCACCGACATTAATATGTTCCTAGATTTTATAAAGCAAGTCCAGAAAATGTCCATCCTGATTTATTTTGACGAAGTGTGAGAATTATATATACAAGTGTAATTCATTTATAATAATAAATTGTGTATAAAATAAATTAAGATACATACCAGGTGTGTCGGTAATTCCTTTCCGGTTTTTTCGCTAAAGAAAACACGTTATTTACAATGGATAGTTAAAATTTATTTATTCAAAGTATTGGCCATTTGATTCTATACATTTTGCCCATCTCTCAGGCAATTTATGGATGCCATTCCAAAAGAACTGTTTCTCCTTTGAGCTAAACCATTCATCGAGCCATTTTTTAACTTTTTCGAAATCGGCGAAGTACTGCTCTGCAAGCGCGTGCCCCATCGATGCGAAAAGGTGGTAGTCGGATGGAGCCAGATCTAGAGAGTACGGCGAGTGCGATAAAACTTCCCATCCAAGTGATTTCAACACTTCTTTGACTGGTTTTGCTGTATGAGACGGCGCGTTGTCATGCTGCAAAATCACCTTATCATGTCTTTGAGCGTATTGTGGACGTTTTTCGATCAATGCACAGTTCAAATTGATCATTTGTTGTTGGTAGCGATCAGTATTAACTGTTTCTCCAGGTTTCAACAGTTCATAATATACGACACCAACCTGGTCCCACCAGACACAGAGCATGGTCTTGCGACCAAAGCGATTTGGCCTTGCAGTCGATGGGCCGCCTTCACCAGGTGATAACTATGATTTTTTTCGCTTGAGATTTTCGAAATAAATCCATTTTTCATCACCCGTTACTATTCGATGCAGAAATGACTTCCTTTCATACCTTTGAAGCAGCATTTCACTGACGATTTTTCGATTTTCCAATTGCCTATCATTCAATTCATGTGGCACCCATCTTCCCATCTTTTGGATCTTTCCCATCGCTTGTAATCGTTCACAAATTGCTACTCGGCTCACATTCAACTTTTCTGCCAATTGTTTTTGAGTTTGTGTTGGGTCTTCATCCAATAACTCCTGCAATTCCGCATCTTCAAACGTTTTCGGCCTACCAGGATGTTTTTTGTCTTGAACGTTGAAATCACCACATTTAAATTGTCGAAACCACGTTTCACATGTTCTTATGGTTGGAGCATGCTCACCGTAAGTCTCTACCAGCAAACGATGACTTTCAGCGGCTTTTTTCTTTTGATTAAACAAGAAAAGTAATGCGTGCCGCAAATGCATGTTTTCAGGCACAAAACTCGACATTTTCAAAAAATTATTAATCTATAACGCTGTTATTTTGGCGGAACGTAACTTGTGTAGTTTTGAGGTTAATGTCAGTAGAATAAAATGACATATGTATCAAATCATAACATTGCATACTTATGACTAGTGACATCTGTTACAAAAACCGGAAAGTAATTACCGACATACCTGGTATCTTTCAGACTTGATTTTAAATCTATAATGGAAAAATCAATGTTGGTGAGTGTGCACTGTATAATATTTTATTCATGAATGAATATCTTTCATATAAGAAATGTGTAACAAATTGATCGTGGACTGCATGCAGATGTGTCAGTAAACAGCACATTATCCGCAGCAAAAATCCATAGCAAAGTCTATTTTCAAATTGCTCCGCGAACTTCAAACAGACTCTGCTCGATTTTTGCCACAAATCTGCTCGAATTGTCTGCCACCAGATTCTTACATTTTTTATGTCAATTTGGTAACATAATCAAATAAAACAGATATTGCATCAGATCTCTTGCCTTTTTGCTACAAAAAATTTATAACAAGCTTTGCTCGAAATATGTTTAAGCTGGTTTGGCTAATATTTGTATGTGCTTATATTGTTATATTACTTATACTTTTTATTGTTTCAGCTGAATATTTTGATATTAGTGGGTGGAAGCAATTAACATACAATGGTACGAAATATCATGAAAAAAATGATAACAAATACTATAACTCAACAATTTAGTTGGGCCGGTAAAAAAGTTAAACACAGTTTTAAATCTTTGAAATTGACAAATGTTATCATACGTAAGTTTATTTTGTAATATACTTTTACAATTAGTTATAATTGTCATTCAATATTTTTAATATTTCAGCTACACATATTTTTCGGTTACATTCTAATATTTACTGTCAATACCGCAAACCTCCAGTTTACGTTATATATAACATTGATTTGCAGTATTGACAATGAATACTGAAATACAGACATAGATTGTATTCCAAAATTACTGTGTAGAAAATCTGCAATATATGTTACATGAGTTGTCCGCCATATGAATTATATATTTTCAGTGCTGGCAATGAATATTTATATCTTCATAGGAACACTATTATAATATGCATGTAATAGCACATTCACATTTATGCTAAAAGATGTATCAAATTATTAATATATAATAATAGAATAATAGAATAATTCGAGATATAACTATACCTGTATTTATATGGATAAATATGTTGATGATAGAATGGAAAGCATATGACAAAAAAAGTATTACGTAAAATAACATGATTGAAAGTCGTCCTGTATTTTATTTCTATTTCCTTTGTTAACTGCATCATTAAAAGGAATATTTTTTTAATTCAATTGTACTTCTATTGCAGATAATATTCTATTAATAATATATGCCCAGATAGCCAAACCTGCGCGAGCAGATCTTGAGCAGAGCCTGCTACCAACTTTTGATGCCAAATAGGCAACAATTTGATGCAGGATCTGTTATATCAAATCATGCTGCCAAAGTGCCATCAGATATATAACAAAGCCTGCTGTCGGGTAATTGCTGCAAATTTGCAGCAAAAACCGCGCAGGGCCTGCGTGCATAACCTTGCAGCAGATAGGCGGCTGAAACCGAGCAGATCCTGCGCACAAAACTTGAGAGCAGATTGGCAGCAAAACCGGAGCAGGCTCTGCGCGGAATCAGCTGTGATTTAAATGAACGCGCGGTGCATTGGCTTTTAAATGATTTTTAACCTATATCGTTATATTAATGCAGCTTTTTACATGAATGTAACTTTTTGGTCCATATTCTGAGCTCTCTTTTATCGTTAAAAGCGCCTTTAAACATGGCTTATAAGTCTTATGATTACAAGTCTTGTGCTACAAACCACTTTTGGAGACGTTTTTAGCAATAAAAAGAATTCAGAATATGGACCTTTGTGTTAAGAAGGGGATGTAGAAAGAAAAACTATGACAAAAAGAGAATATATGTATTATTTTTTATTTCATATAAACATATGATGTGTGTAAAAAACAATTGTATTAAAGTTTCTTTTTCCCTAAGGTTGGAGTGTCATGGAAGGTATTTTCCGCATAATGCGTAACCGCGTAACCAATCAGATGCGTTATGAATTTTCTCGCATAGTGTTATAAAGCATCTAATTGGTGAATGGAATGAAATTAATTAATCATAAACGATTTTCATCAATTCTCGAAACCTTAATTTCGTTAATACAAGTTATTTTAACAGAACTAAGTAGATTAAATTACTTACACGTCAGACTCAGTGATGTAAACACGGTGAACGAGAGCTTGCGGCGCTATTCACTTTACTAGGACCATTCATCCGTTAGCAATTTTCAGTATGTATGTATTCATCTGTAACAAGGAAATTTTTTGCGGCAAAGTACTTCATCCCTCATGCCGCTTGGTACGTAAAGGAAATCGGGTCTTTCTGCGTCTTTCAACGTCTTCTGCTTTTTCAGATCATACTCTGAACACTGATTCGTGACTGCATGTAAAGTCTCAAAGTTTATTGCCAGGCACGAACTCCAACACAACGTACAGCAAATCATTTCGTATGCAGGCGACCAATCCACATCCACATCGATGTACATTTGATATGCAATTTTTTTGTATAATTAGAATAACACAATTACACAAAGAATAGAAGTTTTTAAGTTAATGCGTATGAATATTTGTCAAAGTAAAAAAGAAATAGAATCCTCTCTCTCTCTCTCCTTCTTTTACTTTGAAAAATATACATACACATTAATTTATCAACTTGTATTATCCAATTTGTGTCATTGTAATAATAAAAAAAAGAAAATTTTTTTCATCGCACATCGTCGTATGTTTAACGAAATGTGATGTTTTTATTATATTCGGTGCGGCGCTAAAAAGCGCCGTGTCATGTATTTCGAACACGACAGGTTCCCATGTTTAAGACATCAAAATAGGCACTGAAAAGTGCCGGTTCGTCTGACGACGCAGAGAGAAACCAACCACCGGTTTCTCCTCCTTCTCTTCCCCCCTCTCCACCTATCTCTTCCTGCTTCCTTCTTCTTCCTCTTCTCATTCTGTCCCTCTGTTCCTCCACTGCACCTTCCTGGACGTCCTCCCTGCGTTGCTTCATCGCGTTGTCTCTGCGTTGTTCCATTGGCTTGTACCAGACCTAGATCCTGCGAATAAAGCATGTATGAAAATAATGTACAAGGAAAATCATAACTGTTACAATAAAAGTACCAATACATCAATATATATCTGTACATCTTTTATTTACATTTAAATAATGTTGTTATTCGTCGTCGCTTGCTTCAACGTCGCCCTCGTCTGCCTTGTCATTCCATAAATTTTGGTTCGCTTCTGCGCAGATGTTTCGTCTGCGTGACCACGTATCCTGCTCCGATGTCTCTCCTTTGCTACACGCAGAGATTCCCGCATCTGCATCTGGAATTCTGATTTAAGTGGTCTGTCAAAGTGCCGGTTCTTGCACAAGGCATCTGCAAAAGAAGCACAAGATATATTATAAATAAACTATCTCTATTATAAATAAACATCTCTTTTTCTGTATAACATAACAAAAATGTCTTACCATAAATCGCTTGGACCAGTCGAGTATTGTACAACGGTCGTCGTCCTTCCTCGCGACCGAACCATGTAAACGACTGTGTCAGCGAGTCGAATAAGCCTTCTTTTATACACAGGTTGATGGCTTCCTTTAAGTGAAAGCCACCGACATAATGAAAATAATTAACCTAAAAAAATAGTTACAATAAATATAATGTATAAATATTTCTTTTCTAACAGCAAAGGTATTTATGTCACTTACAACATCGGAATAGTCTTCTTCGGTCAAATTTTCGAATTCGTCCATCTGTTGTAGTGTTGAAATGGGTAATACAGCCGGCTTTTGTGGCGCAGAATGGCGATCCTGGACGCATTTCAATATTTTCTGCAACAATCCATGCGATTTCCTGAAAATAAAAACATCAAATATAGACATACTTTACACATACCGATAATCATGATGTACGAATTACTTACTTCATGTCTGTCTTCATAATCTTCAATCGGTCCTCCATAATCTTCAATCGTTCTTCTATTTTCCTGTAAGTATACACAAATTGCAATGATTATTTATTATTCACAACTAATTTTTCCTTACTGTTCTTCATCTTACTATTCCAATTGTAAGAATATATTCTATATATTATTAGAAACATACTTATTATCTGTCCTTTCCTTTTGTAACGAGATATTCTGCGCTTGACAGACAGCATGTCCTTCGCTCTCCTCACGTTGGTAAGATATATCCTGTTGCGTAGGCAAGGTGTCCTGCAGCTGAGACAAAATATCATTAGTATAGTACATTTTGTCAGACTCAGTGCGTACTGTGAAATTTTGAGTGTGTTGTGCATGTCTTGTGTCACTATGGGAGATGTGTATGTGTGTGTCTGTCTGTGTGCAATATTTGTGTGCGTCTCAATGTGTGGAGTATATGCTGTGTTTGTATGTGTCTGTGTGTGTGGAGTATATACTGTATATGAAGAATTGTTCGTATTTGTTTGCATGTTTGTATATGGTTGTATATTTTGTGTATGTGTGTGTGTCATATGTGTTATAATATTAAAATCGGTTGAATTCTTATCTTGCTGCAACATCCTGTTGATATCGTTGATATCTTCATCGATTATTCCAGATACAATGGCACCTGCTGCTCCTGTAGCAGTAGTATTCCTTCTCCGCTTTGGATCCTCGTCAGAAGAAGTTGTTTGATAGCGCAATGGCTTGGGAACAATGCGTTTTTGCCGTTCCATCTGTAAGCATTATAACATACATTAATATATATTTCATACATATGCATTTATGTCTTGTTGTCTTCAACATTAAGACACAACTTTTAAGAAATAATAATGATAATATTTATTTCACAAATTTGTGAAATAATAATTTAAGTTTTGTAAACATTTCAGCAAAATTTTAACGACATGGCAAATCATATTAGCTTAATGTTTACAAAATAAAATAATGAAATAATTCTCTATTATTATGAAATATTTAGATACTTTTAGAAATATTCAGATCTTGTCATTATTTATTTTATTTTATTTATTTACGTTTCTCAATATCGAATAACGTTTGCAACATGGCTTTACCAATCTGAGATCTCTCTTTAGAATATGCGTGAAAAAAAGATTTTTAAAGTAATGAATCTATGTTGGACATGCGATCCCCTAGATGCTGCAAACGCTTTGAAACACTCAAAGAGAAGCTATGATTGGTCTAGAAGTTATATGTAAGCATTTGTAGCGTTTAATGGATCTCACCTCAGATATTATATTTGTCGCGTTGCTTACATTTTTCACATTTTTCTTATTTAGAAACAAACGGATTCATATTCGAACGTTGGACGAAGTAAAACCGAAGTATTGAGTATGAAAAATGCAAGCAACTCAAACACGCTATGAATTATGGGTGTGTTCTGTACGTGTAACGTTAGTATTTTGCATGCGCATTGTGCCTTATTTCGTACTATAATCCTATTTCGTTGTCTCATGAATAATTTATGCAACAATTTGCACGAGGTGGATAATTTTAAATGTAGTTTCATATTTACGTAATTTTATTGTTGTAGATGCGGCTTCAATGTGGTATCCTTAGAGTTGAAATCACAAATTCGTCGAGTACAAGTTATTACAATTACAATTGAACTCGGAATGACCGTTAGACGGCTTCTGCCCACAAAACACGGAAACATTTGGCGCGCGGCAAGAAACAACATGGTAGCCAATGAAAAACCGTTTTTCCGTAACGTCTTACACATCACATAGCATCACACGCATGCGTGAAACGGAACGCACCCTATGTGATGTGTAAGACGTTACGGAAAGATGATTTTTGATTGGCTACCATGTTTCTTCTTGCAGCGCGCCAAATATTTCCGTGTTTTGTGGGTAGAAGCCGTCTAGCGGTCATTCTGAGTTCAACTGTGATCGTAGTGACTTGTACTCGACGAATTTGTGATTTCAACTCTAAGAATATCACATTGAAGCCGCATCTACAACAACAAAGTTACGTAAATATGAAACTACATTTAAAATTATCCACTTCGCGCAAATTGTTGCATAAATTGTCCATGAGACAGCAAAATAGGATTATGGTAGAAATAAGGCACAAATTGCGCATGCAAAATACTAACGTTACACGTATAGAGTTCAATAATAATTCCGCGTTGCAAGATATTCCTCTTTCATCTGTGGCAGAATGTAGTTATTCGAATAATTTTCATTTTGGTAGCAATATCGACATTACAAGTTGCACAAATGTGGAGCATGATAGAGAATCTTCTTCTTCTTCCACTTCTTCTGATGTTTCTTGTGCATCTTCTTTTTTTACCAGTTTATCAGAACCATCGTTTTGTGAAAATTTAGCCTCTTGCTTTGTTGACAATAATTTAACACATTGCCAAAGTAACAATATATTATCTCTTTTGAAAACACATACCTGTTTTTCCAATTTGCCAAGAGATGTTAGAACTCTTATAAGCACACCACGGCATCGTGTCGTTGTATATAGTGTCGAACCAAGGGAATATATACATTTTAATCTAGAAACAGGAATTATTGAAAGTCTTTCAAACGCTTCTCATGTATCTCGTGTTACAGAATTAGAACTTGATTTCAGTACCGATGGATGTACTTTAGATAAATCAGCTACTGTTCACATTTGGCCCATTCAATGCAGAATATCAAATATACAAAATGTTAATCCAATAGTTAATCCAGTAGTAGGAATTTATAAAGGTGCACGAAAGCCAAATAATCCTATTGCTTTCTTTGAAAAATTCATTGCTGATGTAACAACAATTATGTCCAATGGAGGTATACATTTTCGTGACAACCTAATACCAATAAAATTAAGATGTTTCATAGCTGATGCACCTGCTCGAGCTTTCATTTTAAATCATCGTGGTCATATGTCTCATCGTCCTTGCTCAAAGTGCAAAGTTAGTGGTACACAAAGCGATGGTCACTATGTATTTAATGGTATAAATTATTCTGCTCGTACTGATGAGGATTACAGATTGAAATTTGATGAAGATCATCATAAAGAGAGTACAAGCCCATTATCTTTACTGCCAATAGGAATGGTTACGCAAGTCCCATTTGAATACATGCATTCAGTATGCTTAGGTGTTGTGAAAAAACTATTGTCTGCTTTGGTACATGGCAAATATTCACGCATATCAAAGCTCTCGGGAATATCTTTTTCAAGAATTTGTGCTCGTTTAAATATTTTACAACAATATTGCCTTACAGAATTTTCCAGACGCCCTAGATCTTTAGATGTATATTCGAAATACAAAGCAACAGAATTTCGTCAGTTTCTTTTGTATACAGGGCCAGTTGTAATGTTTGGTATTTTGAACGAACAATTGTATAAACATCTTTACTTCTACATGGTGCTATAAGGGTCTTGCTTTTGAAGTGTCCAACAGAAAAACATTTGAGGTTTGCAGAACTAGCATTGCAAAAATTCGTACTTCGTTCTAATTCTCTATATGGTCCAAATTTTACTAGTTATAATGTCCACAGTCTACTTCATCTTACTGATGACGTTAGACGTCTAGGTAGTTTAGAAACATTTTCTGCTTTTCCTTACGAAAATAATACGTCCATTTTTAGGAAGTATTGCAGTAAACCGGGTCTGCCTTTACAACAATTTTCTAATAGAATAACGGAAATTCGACATTATGGACGAAATCATAATAATAACATAGATTTGTCTATTTGCGTCTCAATGCCACGTAACAATGACGACAATAGTCTTCATTACTCTAAAATTTATTTTAATGGTATATGCCTTACTACTCATGTGCGAGACAATTGCTGTATTTTGAAAGATAGCTCGATCTGTATTGTCTTAGATATTCTAAAATACAATTTTTATCGTTTAGCTGTTAAGCGATTTTTATCGGTGGATAACTTTTATAACATTGGCATGCCATCATCAACATTTAAAGTATATAAGTGCAGTAATTTAAGTAGCGAGATTATTATTATTAATTTGGATGAAGTTAGCGAGAAATGTTACAGGATACATTTGTTCGAGAAACTATCAATGGATGACAGCGATAGTGATGGACATTATGAAATGAAATTATCTAAATATATTATCGCTGCTTTAATACACATGGAAGAAACGTTAGTTGTACAACATACATTTTGTTTTTACTTCTCTTATAATTGTAGGATATCATATTTCCACAAACGTAATTGTATCAATAGAAGCACATTTTATTCATATTTATTTTAAGATGTATAAATACATGTTGATGTATTGGTACTTTTATTGTAACAATTATGATTTTCCTTGTATATTATTTTCATACATGCTTTATTCGCAGGATCTAGGTTGTCTAATACAAGTCAAATGGAACAACGCAGGGAGGTCGTCCAGGAAGGTGCAGTGAAGGAACGCAGGGACAGAATAAGAAGAGGAAGAAGAAGGAAGCAGGAAGAGATAGGTGGAAAGGGGGGAAGAGAAGGAGGAGAAACCGGTGGTTGGTTTCTCTCTGCGTCGTCAGACGAACCGGCACTTTTCAGTGCCTATTTTGATGTCTTAAACATGGGAACCTGTCGTGTTCGAAATACATGACACGGCGCTTTTTAGCGCCGCACCGAATATAATAAAAACATCACATTTCGTTAAACATACGACGATGTGCGATGAAAAAAATTTTCTTTTTTTTATTATTACAATGATACAAATTGGATAATACAAGTTGATAAATTAATGTGTATGTATATTTTTCAAAGTAAAAGAAGGAGAGAGAGAGAGAGGATTCTATTTCTTTTTTACTTTGACAAATATTCATACGCATTAACTTAAAAACTTCTATTCTTTGTGTAATTGTGTTTCTAATTATACAAAAAAATTGCATATCAAACGTACATCGATGTGGATGTGGATTGGTCGCCTGTATACGAAATGATCTGCTGTACGTTGTGTTGGAGTTCGTGCCTGGCATTAAACTTTGAGACTTTACATGCAGTCACGGATCAGTGTTCAGAGTATGATCTGAAAAAGCAGAAGACGTTGAAAGACGCAGAAAGACCCGATTTCCTTTACGTACCAAGCGGTATGAGGGATGAAGTACTTTGCCGCAAAAAATTTCTTTGTTACAGATGAATACATACGTACTGAAAATTGCTAACGGATGAATGGTCCTAGTAAAGTGAATAGCGCCACAAGCTCTCCTTCACCGTGTTTACATCACTGAGTTCAACGTGAGTAATTTAATCCACTTAGTTCTGTTAAAATAACTTGTATTAACGAAATTAACGTTTCGAGAATTGATGAGAATCGATTAATTAATTTCATTCCATTCGGTAATCACGTACCGTTTGTTCCTCGCTGTTCAACGCCTGTTATCGCCATTTCTTCTAGATGGTAAAAAAATATCTTGTGGCAAATCATAATGTTGAACGGGACACCTTATCCTTCTGTAACGTCGATGAAGAAACTATTACTTTGGACCAAACAATTCAACGGAGGAGCTGCTTTTGCACACAGGCCACAAATGTTATATGATGAATTATATATGACATATATCTTATATTAAGAGACAAAATATCTTTAAGCTTCACCTTGTCTTTTTTTCTTTGTGGCTTGTGAAATTGTTATGTAAAGTGTAGTCAGGATATTCTTATTCAAGGTTCACTGTTAATTTCACATATAAAAGCTGAAGAAGGAAACAGCGTCATAGAAATGTCGAAACAACACAACAGCACACTCAGCATGCATTGAAGACATCTGTGGATTTTCAGGTTAACATTTTTTCCTTTGCATCTCCTATGGTTTTTACTTATTCCTTTTATACAAGAAAACTGATGTTACGAACACAGTTATTCTAGATCATACATACATAAAGTGCATTGCCCACTAAACATCAAGTAATACAACATAATATGCATGTTATGTAACCGTTATATTGTTGAATGAGAATTTGTAACGTTAATGTAATATAACTATTACTTGATGTTTACTGAGCGATGTACGTAATGCTGATTAATGAAATAATACAAGTACAAAATCGTAGCATATCATATACTTGAATATTGTAACAATTGTTAAAAATACTCAGTTTTGCATGCTCTAGAATAACTGTGTTTCTCTTAATATCAGTCTTTTTCATAAAATGAATAAGTCTAAAACATACCCATACAGCACAGGTAGATTCTAAGCAGATTCTCAGTATATCGCAAACGTAAATTGCGATTATTCCATGAATATCCGAAATACGTACTGTAATATTTTGAGAATATACTGAGAATGTTTCTATGTCCGCTTCCGCAGTCTACTCAGTATATACTGAGAATATTTCGTATTATATTGTAGGTATATCTAAATAATATTTTAATAATATTTCTAGTATCGATTAGAAATATTTCCTAGTTTATTGTTAGTATATTTGTAGAATATTTATATAATATATAAATATTCTGCAGGTTTTTTTGGGTATAATAAAAATGACAAATTGGTTATATATTATACAGGGTGTTTGATAGCTGATCATGCAGACGAAAGATGGAGATAGATTGGGTGTAGCCGAGAAGAAAAGTCATGTACCATAATGTCAAATTGCCAATAGTTATCGAGTTATTAATTAAAACATGTGAGCCAACGAGCGCGTAGAGAGCGGAGGGTGACCGCAGTAAGCACGTAGACATTTGATACAGGCGGAGTCAGCGAGTGATGGTAGGCGAGCGCGCGCGGCAAGGAGCAACGTAAACAACAAGAGGCGAGCGCACGCGACGAGGAGCGAGCGAGCGCGAACGACGAGGAGCGAGCGAGCGCAAGCGACAAGAGGCGAGCGAGCGCGACGAAGAGCGAGTGAGCGCCAACGACGAGGAGCGAGCGAGCTATAAGGAAAAAGCTATAAAGAAAAAGCCTATAAGATAGGACTTATTTTGAATTGTACACAAAATAACTCCTATCTTGTGTACAATAATTATAAAAGAATATATCTTTAAATCTTCGCCTTATATGTACTAAAATGGCAGATTCTAAAAAGATTAGCAAAGGCCCCTACACAAGGAAGAGTATATCATTAATCAGAAGCAGAAGAATGTAAGTATATGCTATCTCATTATGTAGGACTGATCTTGTTCCTTTTGTTACGCAATAAAATAACATATGCTATGATTCTTCCCTTTCGCTTTTGATTCATGATACATTCTCCTTTGCATAGGAGCCTTTGCTAATCTTTTCAGAATCTGTCATCCCAGATAGCCAAACCTGCGCAAACAGATTTTGCGCAGAGCCTGTTAGCAGTGTCTAGTGACAGAAAGGCAACAGGTTGCATGCAGAATCTGTTTTAACATATTCTGACAACAGACTGGCGGCAAAGTGCGCGTAGAGTCTCACAGCAGATTCTGACAGCAGATTAGCGGCAGAATGTATGCATAGATCGACAGGGGACTGGCGGTAGAATGCACGCAAAGCCTGTCGACATGCTATGCCAGCAGACTGGCGGCAGAATACATACAGAGCCTGTCGACATGCTGTGCCAGCAGATTGGCGGCATAAATATAGAAGATTCTGTCGCTTTTAAAGTTATGTAATCAGAGGGCCAATAAAATGGAAATTAAATTTTAAATAATTGTTCTGATAAAAATCTTTATTGTTATACACATTAAATGATATACAAAATAAAAGAAGCTACTTTCCAATGTGAATATGCCAAATCCAACGGCCGATTCTTCAGAAGGATAAGTACGTCTGCTGCGTGTATTTTGCTCCTCTGGTAGAGAAGAACTTAATTCCCTATTAATATAGATAAGACGGCACTCCGACTATTGGCTTACAATCCGTCAATGCTCCAACTATCTGTAAAAAAACAGAATATTTTGAAGAACCGTTTACAACACAATAACAAGAGGGAATATCAGATTTCTTTTTATTTGTTCAATAGAAAAATTAGTAGCTACCTTTTTAAAATAATATTGTCTTCTGTTGTACCAGGTCTAAGTTCCGAAAAATCAGCCCTCCTTTCGTCCGGCAAAGTAGGCACTTCGGCGTCTTCAGAATTCATTTTCAAATGCTTCTTTCCCATAGGTAACAAATTATCATCTCATTTCCTCCATGCAAGTCGATGCATAATTATAAGGCAGCTATACATCTAGCCATTGCTTTGTTTGGCATTGGGTATAACTAAAATGCGATAGAAAAAATATTCAATATTGCAACATGCAAATGTTTCAATAAAAGAAAAATATATATATATTTACTTACAAGAAAATATTTTTTTTTCAAACTTTAAGGAAACCTTGTAGTTATGTTATAGTCAATTACCGTAACTACATATTTCACTGGTGAATTTATGGGAAGTCGCACAAAATAGGTCTACATCGTTAATATTTAAAAAAATTACTTCCAAGTTGTACAGATGCGATATCATAAGGATTACGTTATTCAATTCTTTATACTCAACACTATGAGATTCGTTCAATATTTGGTGTAGTTTTTTTGCAAAGATTATGGTTTCCTCACCACCTTGCGGTACATAATTTGGCGCGTTTTTTTTTATGTGATTTCCCCTATAGGCCTAATTCACATTCATTTTTTAAGACTGGTCGAAAAGTATCGTCATCGATGTATTCTAAAATATTTTTTTCACGTGCATTGAAAAGAAAATTATTAACAGAAACACTGTAAACAGTTCACTCTGTGTAAATATTAAACTCCTGATAACTAATAGGAAAAACACTTAATCACTTCACTATGTATGATTGTTGCAACAATATATGTGCCTGTTTCTCTGTGGGTTTCCTCATAATCGTCACTTTCGGTGTCATCCGTTAAAGAGCAGTGCCAAAAAGGCATTCTGAAACATTTAACTTTTACTTCGTTAACATTCACTAAAAGAAAATCACTGCATAAATTACTACATTTGAACACTTGAATAGATACATTTGAAGATGGTATACCAATATCGTAAAAGTCGTCTATTTTTAAAAATTTCTTTACTTCCAAGTAATAGGAAGAATCATGTACGAATATATTGAAGACAATGCATATAGAGCCATCATGCAACATGCAGCAACTATCACGTACATCTGAACTTAAAAGTATCTGATTAAATTGTATCTTACGATACTGTGAAAAAGTAGCACCATTATTCAGTGGCATAAATACACGAATTGACGAATCTATTTCCTGATTGCACTTTGTGCCATGCATTTCTATTTCCTTCATCCTATTAAAGAACTGTTGAAGTGGCTGACCCGGTTTTCTACAGTATTTCTTAAAAATGGACATGTTGCTTTCATATGGGAAAGCAGAAAAAGAATCTAAACTTCCTAACTGCCGGATATCGTTAGTCATATGAAGAAGACTGTGCACATTATAAGAAAGAAAATTATCACCATAGAGATCACTTGAACGAAGAACAAATTTTTGCAGTGCAAGTTCTGCAAAATTGAGAAGTTGTTTAGATGGTGAATTTGAAACGAGAACCCTTATAGCACCTTGTAGTAACAAAAAATGCTTATAAAACTGGGTACCTAACACACCATACATAATAACTGGACCATAATAAAGCACAATCTGCCTGAACTCTGTCGCTTTATATTTCAAATATATTTGAAGAGATCTGGGACGTCTTGCAAAGTCAGAGGGAATATATTGTTGGAGATTATCTAATCTTTCACATATGACACTAATGGCATTTGCAGAAAGTTTTGATGCACTTGAATATCATCCGGAAACCCATGCAGATAATAGTTTTTTCATGATGCCCAAGCACACTAAATGCATATACTCGAAAGAAACTTGTGAAACCATTCCTATAGGGATTAATGATAATGGAGTTGTATCTTCTTTATGGTGATCTTCGTCCACAACTGCAACATATTCCTCATCTCTTCTTACAGAATGATTTATTCCTTTAAAAACATTGCGACCTTCACTTATTGTTCCACTAACTTTGCACTTTGAGCATGGTTTACTAGACAGATGACCACGATGATTTAGAATAAAAGCTCGAGCTGGTGCATCTGCTATAAAACATCTAAGTCGTATTGGAATATTACTGCCATTGAACTGTATGCCTCCATTGTTTACAACTGTTAGAATATCTGTAATAAATGCTTCGAAGAAACTATTCGGATTATGGGGCTTTTGTGAACCTTTGTATATACCAACAATTATTGGTTTGGCGTGTTGTACATTCGCTATTCTACATTGAATAGGCCATAGATGAACACTACCCGCTCTATCTAATGTACACCCATCTGTGTGAATATCTAATTCAATATGTGAAGGAATTGCTGCCATGGACATATGTGAAAGGTATTCAATTAAAGCTACTTGAAAATCAAAGTGAATGTATTCTCTTGGCTCAACGTTTAACACAACAATACTATTGCGTGGTGTATTAAGAAGTGTTCTAGTGTCTTTGGGCAAATTAGAGAAGCATGGGTATATTCTAAGAAGAGATAATACACTATTACCTTGAACATGAGTAAAATTGTTGTCAACAAAACAGGAAGCTAGCTGTTCACAAAAGAATGATTGGCCAAAATTGTCATGAAACAATGTTCCACATTCAGATGCATTTGAAGACGATGAAGAAGAATCATCATTAATAATGTTTCTGTTATGTACTATATGAGAATTATCATTTGACATGGAATCATTGCAAAAAGTATACTCTACATCAGCAAAGTGCGGAACACTGTTAACAAAACGAAACTCAGAGGAACTACATTCTGGAGTTAGTGAATTATGGGAATCACAGCTTTGCAAATTGGCATTATTCTTTGATTTTCCATCTACACTTTTATATGTTGCAATATGTACCAATTTTAAACTCTCCCTTACTTTACACATAACTATAGATCGGTATCGTGGGGATAACTTATGTGCCGGTTTCCGCGACACAAATGATTTATTTACGTAATTATTCATATGTGCGTGTTTATCGTGTGAGTCTTACGTATAACTGTAAAAATCTGTAATATCGCTAATCATTGCAAATGCAAAAGTCGCTATTCGTGCTCACTAAAGAGAGAAATTATTCACAATCTGATCCTACTCGAAGATCGTACGTGAACGCAGTGTAGGTATACCTGTAATGGATACAATGGGTTAGGGATAGCCAAAATGTGATCGATGCTTTTAGAATCGATTCTTTTTCTTGAAATAACCGATGTTTTTTTCGATGTTTTTGAAAACCGATTATTCCTGCATCGATAGTTATTTTGCTTCGATGTTATTAAGGCAGCGTTCTGAAATTCACCGCCAGGGGCATGATTCTCTATGTGTATGAGTGGATACGTATGCGAAAGTCCTATAGTTCATGTCACGTATACTATTCATTACATTTTCGTATGCGCGTCGAGCAACGCAATTCGCGATATGAGACGTGCGTTATCTAATGAACGTACACCTCTTTCGGAATATTAGTACACTCATTGGATATCGCGCGACGTATATCGCGAATCGCATCGCTCGTTTGCTTTGGTTTGAGAAAGCCATTTAGCCGAGTCAGGTAGGTTCAAGGCGGAACACGTTGTTCTAAATGGTTGTGTTGTGTTATAACATTATGTTTTTCAAAATGCAGCCACGTGAAAGAGAGAGAGAGAGAGAGAGAGAGAGAAAGAGAGAAATCGCTAAAAAATCATCAGATATCAAATAAGTGAATATTTAGGTTAGGTTAATATACAGATTAAATAATATTAAAAATTATGTATATATATATATATAATATAAGCTTTCTTATTTTTCATTTATTGTTACAGGAATAAAATGGATAGAAACAATAAAAACATACGTAAAAGTATTGTGTGGAAATACTTTACCAAAGAGGATGGTACATGTGCCAAGTGTGTTTTATGTACAAAAGTGTTAAAGCACAGTGGCAATACGACAAATTTAATACAACATTTGCAAAGGAAACATATATTTCATTTACCACATGATGAAGATTTATCTCTCAATTATATATTGGGTGAGTGCAAAAGTTCGTGCGGAGTTTGTGAGTAAAAGTCACACAGTGATTAGGCAAACAAAAATCTTTATTCAATCAATGATATATTCTCCATCGTTTTCTATAATCTTTTCCCAACGTTCTGACAGCATACGGATGCCTCGATCATAAAGACTGCGCGGTTTAGATTCGAAGAACGAAGAGACGCCGTTTTTTAAGGCCTCCAAAGAGTCAAAGTTTTTTCCATTTAAATAATTTTGCAATGACCGGAACAAGTGATAGTCAGATGGTGCGATACCAGGAGAATACGGTGGATGCGTTAAGACATCCCATTTCAGGCTCTTCAGTTTGCGCAGCGTCTTTTTCGAAACGTGTGGTCTGGCATTGTCGTGATGAAAGACGACTCCCTTGTGATTTGACAAAATCGGACGTTTCTCTTTTATTTCTCGATTTAGATTGGTTAATTGGCGACAGTACTTGTCCGAATCAATCGTTTCGCCAGCGGGGAGAAGCTCGAAATAGATTATGCCCTTGCAATCCCACCAAACAGAGAGCATCACCTTCATCAGGTGCAAACTGGCCTTTGGCATTGCGTCACCATGTTCACCTGATTGTTTCCATGTCCGTTTGCGCTGAACATTGTTGTAGAGGACCCATTTCTTATCGCCCGTCACTAGTCGATCCAAAAACGATTCGTTATTGAGCCGCCCGAGTAAAGAAACGGCTGCAGAAATTCGCTTGATTTTGTTCTTCTCGGTCAGCAAATGGAGCACCCATATATCGAGCTTCAAATCGAATCCCATCTTTTTTAAACGCCGAAAAGGGGTTGATCGGTCAACGTTTAGTGCAGTAGCAACTTCTTCTGTTGAAATTCGCGGATTATTGAGCACTAAAGTACGCAAAACATCGTCATCAATATCAGAAGGTCGACCAGATCGTGGCTCGTCTTCAAGGTTAAATTCTCCGCGCCGAAATTTAGCAAACCATTTTTCCACAGTTCGTTTAGCTGGTGCTTCATCCTGATAAACATCCTGAATGTTTTTTACGGCTGCGGCAACGTTTATTCCCTTCCGAAACTCGTAAAGCATAACATGCCGTAAATGCACCTTATCGATACTCATTTTTAAAGTGATATTTCTCGAAGCAGTTTGTATGAAAACAAATGATTTTTTTTTTAATAACAGCTGAAGACATCACCTTTCCAACGTTATATAATATGTAGATGGAAGTATTAATGACAATACTTTACGACGCTTATAACTCCATCTATTGAAACTCCGCACGAACTTTTGCACTCACCCAATAATTGATGACGAAAACATTGATGAAAGTGTAGACGAAAATGTGAATGTCCTTACTGATAAAGAGTCTAATACTGATAATGTGAAACGAAATATGAGGGATCTCAAATGGAAAATTCTAGTACTTCATGTATTCCTTTAGAAACGAAGAAACAGAAAGTAATGTTATAATTTTTTAAGATACTAACAATTTATGTGTATAGATAACAAATGGTTTTAATTTTATATTAATTTATTTGTAGGTTGGCAAGTTGTGTCCTGAACGAATTGATGATGCTTTCGAGCGCATTAACTCTTTTAGAGGTAATTTATATTTCTTCAAGTTATAGAATAATACAATGATTTACGAACTGTTTTATTTTCTTTTACACAATAAGCAAGATATAACATTATGTTGCCAGATTAGCAGCAAATTCGATCAAATTACCTTAGCAGATCCATAGCCACCTGTGACTACTATATGAAACTCAGGTTTTGTCAACAGAATCTAGGGCCATATTCTTAAAATAGTTGTGTATACATAATTTTTACTGCATAGTTTCACTCATATCGTAAAACAGCTGCACACTGAAACTTATGTGCACACAATTTCAAGAATCAAGCCTTTGTTCCTATACTTTGATAGTAAATTGAAGGGAGAAATCAAACAGCGTATACAGTATGTTCCACTTAAATACATTATAGTCACAAAAGAACAGATGTGAACAGATACTGATTGGTTTTTTCCTTAATATACTATCATTTTTGCAGATTATATGATACTTCTGCCAACATCTGTACCAGATACAACATCTAATTTTCTTCTCTACAAGATTAGCTGTGCAGATATTTACTATTTTATATCTTTTTGGTTTACATAGATGGAGGTACAATAGCAGGCAATATAACAAATGCAATTGCATTTATGATAGCCAAGGATAATCAAGCTTTATCAATAGTGGACAACGTGAGCTTTAAACAACTAATGAAAACACTCTCTCCCTTGTATAAAATAAAATACCCAGCAGACAAACAATGACCAGATTATTGGGTGCAAAATATGAGGTTTTAAAAAAAGCATTTATTAATGATATACAGCATATTTCTTCATATACGGTAACATGCGACATTTGGACAGATGTTTCGAATAAGAGTTATTTGGGTATAACATTGCATTATTTGAAAACTGATATAATACTAGCCAAAAGTGTCATAGGGGTAGTTCCTTTAGAGCAAAATCACACCGCAGGATATATTAATGATATATTAGTAACTACATTTCGTGATTTTCACATTGATCAGTCCAAAATTACAGCCATTGTAACTGATAATGCTCCGAACATGATTAATGCAGTAAATTATACATTTATTCATAAACATATTCCATGCATAGCACATGTTTTAGCACATTTAGTTCCAGATAGTTTAAAGACATGTCAAACAATAGAAAAAGTTATCACAAAAGTAAAAACTATTATTTCTGTAATAAGAAAAAGTGTAGTAGCTACTGATGAATTGCAACGTTTACAAAAGTGGGATGGAAAAACGGAAGGTTCTCTTTTGAAATTAAAACAAGATGTTCCAACTAGATTGAATTCCACGTTCTATGTGATCGAACGGTTTTTATTATTAAGAGAATATATATATCCTGTAATATTAAAATGTCAGGTACCTCCAGAAATGATGACGCACGAGGAATATGAAATACTAAAGGATATTATAACAATTCTTCAGCCGATTGAATTAGTAACTAAAGAAATCGGAGGTGATTTATATCCTACTTGTAGTATTGTTATCCCACTATTAAGATGTATGACGAAAAATATTACTGACTGTGTTCCTATAACCGATGACGGCGAAAGATTAAAAAAAACATTTTATTACAAATAGAACGAAGGTTTTCTGATACCGAAAAATATAAAACATTAGTTATTTCTACTATATTAGATCCACGGTTTAAAAAAATGCATTTACAACGACCGTTACACATTTCGTCAGCACTTTGTCATATTGATACTTTACTAGATGGAATAAATGCAAATACAAATATTGTTAATATGCCGGTGTCATCTCAGGTTGAAAATAACATAACAAAAGGCTTATCGGCTTTCCATGATAACTTGGTATCAGTACCTGCTGTTACTACTCGTGATAACAATGGGATGTATTTAGAGTTACGGCAGTATTTACATCAGCCTGTAATTCCAAGACATCGTAATCTACTAGAATATTGGCAAACTTTACAAAATGTGTATCCTACATTATACATAATAGCAAAACAATATTTGTCAGTTGTTGCAACGTCAGGATCCTTCCGAGCGTCTGTTTTCCAAAGCTGGTCTTATTAAATATGATATGAGAAATCGGCTGAATATTCTAGGTTGAATATTTTACTTTTCCTTCAATCTTTAGAAGATGAAGACTGGAAATTTACATAAAAGAATACATAATATGTTACTTTTATGTGTATTTGCTATTTCAAAAAATATTTATAATGCTTTTATTTTGCAATATTATAGTGAATTATTACAGTGCAATAATATCTTTTAATTTTTCTGTATTTTGTAATATTGTTTTCTGTTTTGTCATAAACTATTACTGATATGCGGTACATACGCGCGCGTATAATATATAAGTATATATATATATATTATGTGTAATATAATATTATTATGTATATTATTTACATACGAATATACTTACAGATTTTGTAATAATATATAATTTTATTTAATTTTCGATTTACAATGTAGTTAAGCCTGTTGTGTCTAAAATGCTTTTATTCTCTCTCTCTCTCTCTCTCTCTCTCTCTCTCTCTCTCTCTCTCTCTCTCTCTCCCTCCCTCCCTCCCTCCCTCCCTCCCTCCCTCTCTCTCTCTCTCTCCCTCTCTCTCTCTCTCTCTCTCTCTCTCTCTCTCTCTCTCTCTCTCATATATATTGGGTGAGTGCAAAAGTTCGTGCGGAGTTTCAATACATGGAGTTATAAGCGTCGTAAAGTGTTGTCATTAATACTTCCATCTACATATTATATAACGTTGGAAAGGTGACGTCTTCAGCTGTTATTAAAAAAAAAATCATTTGTTTTCATACAAACTGCTTCGAGAAATATCACTTTAAAAATGAGTATCGATAAGGTGCATTTACGGCATGTTATGCTTTACGAGTTTCGGAAGGGAATAAACGTTGCCGCAGCCGTAAAAAACATTCAGGATGTTTATCAGGATGAAGCATCAGCTAAACGAACTGTGGAAAAATGGTTTGCTAAATTTCGGCGCGGAGAATTTAACCTTGAAGACGAGCCACGCTCTGGTCGACCTTCTGAACTTGATGACGATGTTTTGCGTACTTTAGTGCTCAATAATCCGCGAATTTCAACAGAAGAAGTTGCTACAGTACTAAACGTTGACCGATCAACCGCTTTTCGGCGTTTAAAAAAGATGGGATTCGATTTGAAGCTCGATATATGGGTGCCCCATTTGCTGACCGAGAAGAACAAAATCAAGCGAATTTCTGCAGCCGTTTCTTTACTCGGGCGGCTCAATAACGAGTCGTTTTTGGATCGACTAGTGACGGGCGATGAGAAATGGGTCCTCTACAACAATGTTCAGCGCAAACGGACATGGAAACAATCAGGTGAGCATGGTGACGCAATGCCAAAGGCCAGTTTGCACCCGATGAAGGTGATGCTCTCTATTTGGTGGGATTGCAAGGGCATAATCTATTTCGAGCTTCTCCCCGCTGGCGAAACGATTGATTCGGACAAGTACTGTCGCCAATTAACCAATCTGAATCGAGAAATAAAAGAGAAACGTCCGATTTTGTCAAATCGCAAGGGAATCGTCTTTCATCACGACAACGCCAGACCACACGTTTCGAAAAAGACGCTGCGCAAACTGAAGAGCCTGAAATGGGATGTCTTAACGCATCCACTGTATTCTCCTGATATCGCACCATCTGACTATCACTTGTTCCGGTCATTGCAAAATTATTTAAATGGAAAAAACTTTGACTCTTTGGAGGCCTTAAAAAACGGCGTCTCTTCGTTCTTCGAATCTAAACCGCGCAGTTTTTATGATCGAGGCATCCGTATGCTGCCAGAACGTTGGGAAAAGATTATAGAAAATGATGGAGAATATATCATTGATTGAATAAAGATTTTTGTTTGCCTAATCACTGTGTGACTTTTACTCACAAACTCCGCACGAACTTTTGCACTCACCCAATATATATATAATATATATATTCTGTATTTCGTATACTATATTTTTATACTTTTTCTAAGAAGACTTATGGAGGATTCACACACCAAGTATCACGATCTGATATCCAATAAGAAAAGAGCTTTCTTGTAATAGACTGAATTTTCTAAAGGAAAGTTCTTATTGGATATCGTATACTGCTATTTATATTAGTAAAACTGCAAATATATAAACGAGATAATGCCAAGTACATGTTGCATTGTTAATTGCAATAATACGAATAAAAAAGGATATCACTTATTTAAGTAAGTAGAATACATTTATATATAATAAATATTCGAGGTTTGTAATATGTGAGGGTTATCTTGCAATTAAACATTGTTAATATTATTAATATTATGTTAATATTATTAATATTATTAATATTAGAATGTATTCACTTACAAAAACAACGAAAGATAGAAATCCTGCAAGTAACAGACATAAATTTACAAAATTAATATTATTTAATAACACATAAGTTGCATTTTATTCTTTATATGTATGTAAAAAATATTAATACAAATACTTTGACATATTTTGAACTGTATATATTCAATTTAATTTTAACCTTTACCAAACACTTAGATTAGCAACACTTTATTAATACACACATCTTTAAATGATATTCTTTCTTGTTCGTATTTTTGAAATTTACAATACTTATTCGGCATTATCTCGTTTGTAGATTTGCAGTTTTACTAACATAAATAGTAGTAGACACATCAGGTGTCACATACGCACTACCACGCACTACTACATACGCATCGGGTATTCACATACACACTACAAACACACACCGCCGCCATATCTTGGCGGTTTTCATGGCCGAACCGGAAAATGGGCGGGACACAGCTCTTTTGAGAAGTTAGCAATCTAGTATAGTATAGACATCTGTGGCCGCAGCTCACCGCATGCATGGAGTCTTAGCTTTAGTTAGATAGTAATTTTGAACGAAATAATCGATTAATTATCGATATTTTTCTTAAAACATCGATATATGTAAAACGATATTTGTACCAATCGATAATTCTAGGGACGATTATTTTTTTTCGCGATGGCCATCCTTACAATGGGTGCATTCAGTACTACGGCTGCGTTCTGATATTCATTAGCAGCACTGAAAATCTATAATATACGTGACACAAATTATGTATTTTCAATACTGGCAGTAAATTTCGGAACGCACCCTACAACCGCTCACTGAGCGCTCAATGAGCTTTTACATTTGATTGGCTGCATTCAGCAGACTCAACTAAAAAGCCTAAAATCAAAGAGCCTCCAACAACGCAAACTGCCTCCACGTTTTTGATTGGCTGTACTATATGACGTCAGAATATGTCATGTTTGCGAGGAAAAATCGTACAGTTCGCTAGCTGTCTGCTAGATAAGAAGGTTGCGAGGTTATTTTACATTAGAATGTGAAGGCAGAAAAATAAGAGTGTATCTATCATAGAATACAAAGTAAGTGGATTTTATATTAAATCTTTTGAAACATGTTTCTAATGTAAATACATTGTCTAGAAAACTTGCTGGAATTTGAACACAAACTTTTACAAACTTGTTTTATTGTATTTCCTTAAAGAGATTTGATGGCTATTTACTGTTGCATGAAACATTTATAAGAATAATTTCAAATTATGTAATTACTTTATTATTTTTGCAGTATTTGTAGTTATGTTGCGGTGTTTAAATATTGATTTGCATCATGGTACGAGTATGTAGTGCAAATAATTGTTCAAATAAGTATAGTACTGGGATAAAGTTCAGGAGGTGCCCTTGTATTTCTCATCTGCAGCAACAATGGTTAGAAAAATTAAATAGAAGTACTATGAGAAATGAATTTTATCTTTGTGAGGTATGAATGCAATTATAAAATTATAAAATAGTTGTTTCCTTTAGAAAGTATATATGTTTAGATGTTATGTCATAAGATTTTGTTTTATGGTTCTTATCTTATATTGTAGGAACATTTCAGCAGAGAAGATTTACAAACAAATACTCGAAGCCTTATTCTTACAATTTTTTGCAACTACTCAAATACTTGTAGGAATGTCAAACCTTTGCAGGTCAATAATAAAACTTTTAATCCTTTAGAAGATCATCCAGGACTACCAAAACATCTACAGAATAGGAATAAAAAGACAAGTAATAAAGAGAATGAAAAACTTTGCATCAAAAGAGGACGTCCAAAAAAAGAATGTATACATGAGACACAATGTCCCATAGCCTTAAGAAGACAGATCGTTTCATCTTTGGTTCCTCGACCAACTGCGATAGAGTCCACTTCACAAAGAAATGTATCTTCTAGCTATATGCATTGTAATAATCAGTCGAGTCATAATGTAACACATTGTGATACGAATATGAATGTGGACCTTAGTGAATGTAAAATACCTTCCAGCATTGTGCAATACGATCAGTCGAGTCATAATATAGGAGTAACATCTTGTGATACGAATATGAATAGAGACCTTGACGAATGTCAAGTACCTTCTAGCATTATGCACTGTGATAATCAGTCGAGTCATAAGATAGGAGTAACACATTGTAGTGCGAATATGAATGTGATTCTTAGAGAATGTAAGGTACCATTGATAGCAAGTAAGATGAGTGAAGTCCAAACAACAACTGATTTTAACCAAAGTATTAATAATAATAATCAAAGTACAAATAATAATACTGGTCTAAGTGCAATAGCGAAACTACGGGACTTTAGTCAAAGTAATAACATTCATACATTGACAAACTCCATATATGAAAATGTTGAACAATGCGGGAATTCTAAAAGTAATGTTAATTCAAAGAGTAGCATTGTGATAAGTACCACAAGATATAGCAGAAATTCGGAGTGTGAATCTATTAATAACAATATAATAGTGAGAAACATGACTGGACCTGATAGTTATATAATATTAGGTGTAGTAAAAAGAAATCCATTATTTTTCCAATAGATGGCTTTAGTTATCTGTATCTCGCGTTGTATAAGTCCGATCAGGTTCCACTAGATGGCGTTAGAAAGATGAGATTTCGTACTAAAAAAACTTCTGACAGTTTTGTGATTAGTTGACTCAGTTTTGGTTTGAGCGCGCGTCAAAGATGGACACTAGCAAAGAGAAAATACGCTATATTTTACAGTTTTTCTTCGATAAAGGCGAAAACGCAAGCCAGGCGGCTGAAAATGTGAATAGTGTTTATGATCCTGATATTATAACAGCCAATCACGCGCAATTTTGGTTTCGTCGATTCCGTTCCGGTAATTTCGATGTCAAAGATGCATCACGCACTGGAAGGCCAATTGTCGAAAATATCGATAAAATCATGGACATTGTCGAGTCCGACCGTCATGTAAGCACTGTTTCGATTGCCCAAGAGCTAAAGATTGCACAAAAAACCGTTTGGAACCATTTGAATAAGGCTGGATACAAAAAGAAACTCGATGTATGGGTGCCACACGAGTTAACGAAAAAAAACCTCATGGAATTTCCATCTGCGAATCGCTGCTGAATCGCAACAAAATCGACCCATTTCTGAAGCGGTTGGTCACTGGTGATGAAAAGTGGATCACTTACGACAACGTCAAGCGAAAACGGTCGTGGTCGAATCGCGGTGAGCCGGCGGAAACGGTAGCCAAGCCAGGATTGACGGCCAGGAAGGTTTTGCTGTGTGTTTGGTGGGATTGGCAGGGAATTATCTACTATGAGCTGCTCCCCTACGGCAAAACTCTTAACTCGGAACTGTACTGTCAACAATTGGACCGTCTGAAGGAAGCAATCGCCCAGAAGCGGCCAGCTTTGGTCAATAGGAGAGGAATTGTGTTCCATCAGGACAACGCCAGGCCACACACATAGATAGTGACTCGCCAGAAGCTCCGGGAGCTTGGTTGGGAGGTTCTTATGCATCCACCTTATAGTCCGGACCTGGCACCAAGTGATTACCATCTGTTCCTGTCCATGGCGAACAATTTTGCTGGTGAAAAATTCGCTTTAAGAGAGGCTTGTTCAAATCGACTGTCTCAATTTTTTGCCAATAGTCACGACGGCTTTTATGAGAGAGGCATGATGAAATTACCTTCAAAATGGCAACAAGTTATCGAACAAAACGGCGCATATTTGACCTAAATCGGATCATTCTAACTATGGTAATTAAAGCCTTCAATTTCATGCAAAAATAATGGATTTCTTTTTACTACACCTGATATTTGATAATACAATACCTGATAATACAATATCTGATAATTCTATAATAGAAGGAAGTCCCAGTCCTAATCCTAGTATTGTAAACAGTTGTATGACATATAATACCAGTACCGTAGAATGTAAAAATTATTTTATTCAAAATTGTCGGAAACCTATGCTGAAACAATCCAAAATTTTATTTATTGATATTCAACATGCATTGAATCCATCTTTGAAACTTGATAGTATTTCACAGCAAAACCGTGTCCTGAAAAGAAAAGTTGACAGTTTACGTAAATTAGTTACATATTGGCAGAAAAAGTTATCATCTTTTAAGAACAAATTGTCTTCTCGTTTTGGGGAGGATCAGCTTAATGCTCTATGTTTGAGTTCGAGTCGCGGCAGTAAATGGACAAATAAGACATTACAAATCGCTTTACAGTTGCATTTTGCATCTGGCACCACTGGATATCAATTACAGTCACAGCTACAAATGCCTTTGCCGTCTGTTCGTCTTCTTCAATCTGAACTTCAACATGTACAGTTCTCGCCTGGTTTGTTGCATGACATTTTTAAGCTTCTTCATAAAAAAATAAGCTCAATGAAAACTATGAACAAAGACTGCGTTCTTATTTTTGACGAGATGGCAATTCAGAAGAAAATTGATTACAATCCAGGAACCAAGTCATATATAGGTTGGTGTACTATACCAGGAGCAAAACCAAAAATAACTTCACAGTTAAAGCTTCAATATCCTGATCCTGATACAAGAGAGAAATGGCGGACTGAGGTATCCCTATCAATGCTAAAGGAAAAGGCAAGTAAAATCATGGTGTGGATCTTAGGAGGACTAGCTGTCCGGTGGAAACAACCAGTAGCCTATGATTTCACTGGAAATTCTTTTTTTTCTGAAGCAGTCAAAAATCGCTGTCTAGAAATTGTACGTGAGTCGTACAAAGTGGGAATAACAGTTCGTGTTCTGACTTGCGACATGGGTAATCGTAATGTATGAAAAGCCCTGGGAATAGAAGTGGGTCCGCAGATACTGAATAACAGCTTCTGCCATCCATGTGTTGAAGGTCAGAAAATGTTTGTTATGGCTGATGTTATGCACGCTTTTAAAAATTTCAAAGAAATGCTGACAAACAATAAAGTTATACATCTTCTTGATCGAATTGTTGAAGAACAAGGTCTGCCTTCTTCAGCAGTAAAAGTGGCTCATATTTTTGCTCTAATTGATTATCAAAGTGGAGATATGTGGCGAATGACTCCAAAATTAAAGAGGAGTGATGTACAATGCAATCATTTTGACAAGATGAAGTTAAATGTCGCGAGACGAGTCATTAATCATCGTACTGCTGCTAGCTTGTTTAATATCGCTTTTATGGAAGGAGGTGACCCTGAAATGGTTACAACAGCTTGGATGGTGCTATTAATGCATGAATGGTTCCGTTATGTCACTTGCAGATCCCTCTTATCTGCTTTAAGTAAAAAAAATACAGAAGCTTATGAACAAGCTATTACTATTCTTAAACTGATAATGGATGTATTCCAACATATGTATATATCAGGAGGTTGGAAACCTGTACAGACTGCAATTAAAATTTCGACTAAGACTATTTTAGATCTTGCTGAATTGTGCCTGAATGAACTTGGTTATGACTTTCTGTTTACTGGTCGACTTACTCAAGATATCATTGAAAATTTTTTCTCTGTCATAAGGTATCGCAGACCAACACCTACACCACTTCAAATAACGCAACGGCTAAGACAAACTACTATTTCAATGCTTTTGAGGGAAGTACCTGGAAGTAGTTATGACTTTGAGACAGAGGGAGAAATACTTATTAATATCTTTGAAGAGTTAAAATTTGCTGCTTTGGATACTGCTTTGAATAACAATGGAGATTGGCCAAGAGACTTCATAATTCTACCTTTCACAGTACCACAAAAAGAAAATAAAGTGCTGTACAGAGTAGCAGGCTATGTGGTTCATCAAGTTTTTACAGTTACAAAGTTAGACTTAATTTGTTCTACATGTTCTTCAGCTGTACTTCATAAGGGTCCTCAGGCTCATCCAGAAAGTGAATTTACTCGCCAAACAAACTATGCAAATTGTTCTCAAGTAGAAATTTCCGATGAAATTTTCACTCTGATCGTGAAAGCAGAATGTTGTAGAGGTGTTGAGCACATCATCACATCTGTTCGTAAAAATGCAGACATATTTTTGACAAATATAATGAAGGAGTTTCCAAATTTGTATGCTTTCGCTATACCAAAGTGTCACAATCTTGCAACAGCTATTCTGAAGAGATTCATTCAAATGCGACTGAAAATTTTCACTGGTCATGAAGAACGAAAAGAATCCGGTTCAAAATTTGGTAGTTTCAGCATGGGCTCGCGTTTGTTAGGCAAAAGCATGAAATAAAACTTTATTATTAGTCAGCAGAGACTTCCAACGATATTGAGTAAAGTAATTCTGTTTTTATTTTTAGTATGTTAGTCTAATTGTTGTCACAAGAAATTTCTATTGAATGCAATAACCCAGATAGAACACAGTGTTAGCAAAATATTTTAAAGATATAGATGTGAAATATTATATAAATACTGTAATGTCCGAGATTCTCAGATATGAAAAAGATTATAATAAATATCTAAAAATATTTAAGAAAACCATTTCTCATAAATATTTTTATGAAACAACTTATGACTTATAAATCAATTTATGAAACATATTTTGCAGACATATTTTTACATATTTATTATAATTGTTTTCATAGCAGAGAATGTTGAACATTATAATAACTATAAAATATTTGATCTATATTTCTAAAATATTTTGTAAATATTATGTGCTGTCTGGGAACCTACATTTTAGTAACAGCAATAATAATATAATGTAATTATTAAAAGATAATTATGTTCAATACAATTATTATAATATATAATATAATTGTTATAATATATAATTATTATAACTGTTTTCAATAAAACTTATGTTCGTTCTCAAACGATTATGTAAATTTATTTCAATTTTATTTGAATAATCACACTAATACATTTACGAGATTCAGTTATTAGTTTTGAACTTCGCGCGAAGGGACGCCATGTTTGCGAGGAAAAAGATTCCCCTGCCTAGCAGACAGTTTGCGGCTCTTTAGACTCAACAGTTGGACAACATTACTAGATTTTCCACTGAATCTCGCTCCTGATTGGTAAATACTTCTGGGTTTATGAAGAATATGAAAAAATGCTCTAATCACAGACAATAATCACTAAGCGCTCTCTGATCACTTTGTTCTACTGAACGCGGCCATTGCTTGCTAGATAAAAATACTGCATTTTGATTGGTACATTTCCGGAGATGGATGAAAATGTACCAATCAGAATGCAATATTTTCACCCAGCAAGCAATCCAGCACGAAAACAAGCACCGTGTGCCGCTGGCTTTAATAAATCTACCTACTCAACTCATATCTCGCGCGCGCGTATACATCGTGTCCATGATCCGTTACATGCATTGAATAAAGAATACCAGGGCTGCGTTTCGATATTTACTGTAAGTACTGATTATACGACGTCATGCAGTAGAGCGGTAAGACAGTTTCAAAATTACTGCTGTTGATTTTATTGCGTATTTTGCAGTAATAATGAAACGGAGAATTTACGTTCCGCAGTACACAATCACAGTGTACAGTGAGAACTACAGAAAGAAATATAAAATATAACCTAGCTTATTCCTGTTGTCGAGGGGTGCATTCCGATATTCACTGCCAGTACTGTGAACATGACGTCATAAAGCAGTGTTGGCGATGTGTTCCGTAATAGCTTATATCGCTTTTCCTTCCCTATAACGGAATGACAATTGCAGTATTGTCAGTACTGGCACAGTATAAGAAAGCAGTAGGTTCACTCGATGTCGGCACCTTTGATCTCATGACTAAAAGATCGCCATGTTGCTGGTTGTGCGCGGGCTCTAATTTGAAAGGTACAAATACAAAAAAAAGGATATGTCTAATAACAATATTATAAAAACACTAAGAAAGAATTGTACTAAATATTTTAAAAGAAAATAAGACTCTAGAGTAATAATTCACTTGATGGGAAGAAAGTTTGAGCCATCGTAGTTATATGGTACATAAATTATTGTGTATATTTACAAATAATTAATATCTTTGCGTTTATTTTGTTGTACATATGTATTAATTTATTTTTAATTAAAATACAATTTTATCAAAATCACTGTATAAGAATACAATTATTATATACAATAATTATCTAATTAAAATCCTAGTATATCGTATGTATGTATATAAATGTTCATAACCTATACAACTTGTGTGTGTGTGTGTGTGTATGTGTGTATGTGTAAGCGTGTATAATTATTAAAGACGTTAGAAAAACATAATCTGATAAATATAACATTTACAAATGTGTATCCATCCTTGATCCATCAGTCATAATCTAGATACTGTCCAATTCTTCTTTTTTCTTTCTTAATTTGAGTTTATTGATGTATACCTAAAAATATTTAGGAATATTAATTAATTAATATAACGAATAAATAATAAATTATACTAAATTAAAGACTAAACTAAGACTAAATGCGAAACAAATAAACGTGGGTTTTAATAAATCATGTTCCCGTTGAAAAAAATTAATAATAAATAATTATATGTCATTATAAATTTAAAAGTTCTGTACATTGCTTTTTAAATTGTGATAAATTGTTCATCAGGGATTTCAGTAGAGGTTACTTTCATTAAAAGTTACACCAGAAATTTCTTATGTTAGTAAGCTTTATTTATTTGAAGATATATTATGTATTTATTATAAAAATAGTATTAATTATATATTTATGGCTATAATTTGAAATAAACAAATTAGCACATTGTTCAAGTTTTACTAAAATTATATTATGTGAAATATATTAAAATAAAAGATTATAAAAATAACTTATATATATCATGACATATATAACATGACATATAAAATATCACATGACAAAAATATATAAAGAATATATAAACACAATATCATCCAAGAACGTCAAAAGAATATATATAGAGAACAATATATATAGAATATATTAAACATCACAACTTTATAAGTAACACAACTCTTTAAGTAATACAACTGTTGTAAGTAACACAACTGTTAAATAACATAACTCTTTTAAGAATTACATATGTATGTACGCGTATATAATAAACTAATTAGATATCGCATGAACACAAATAGAATAAAAATTTTAAATTATTAATTATGACACAAAATGATAGCTTTCTTTTTACTCCTTTTTTTTGTTTTGAAGTCTCTATTAATAAATTTTATTATGTAATATAATCTTACTCTAATAAATAGTTTTAGCAAATAAAGCGGAAAATCACAACAAGGATTAAAAACTCAATAACAGATAAAATTTGCATAAAGTTTTGCATAACATTTGTTTCAATAATAATATTAATATTTTCGAAAAATATTGTATGCAATTCTCTAATATAATTAACAAATACTGCACTTGGTATATATAAACTGTCAAACATATCATTTGTATTATCATAAGGTTTTAAATAAGAATATAAACGAGATTCATCTAAATTACAATCTCTTTCGGCTAGTAATGCACATGTATCACAAAAATGTTTAATAAAAACGCGACGCAATAAATATCCGCAAATATAAACAAAAACATTTTCTTCGGTTACTGGTAAATTATGATAATCATATTTATCTATATCTGAATTAATAAAAGATGTTGCTTGTGAAGATGTTTGAAATATTATATTTTGTGTTCTTATGTCCTGACATTGAATTAATATTGATTTTTCATCAGCTGCGCAATTTCCACTATCTGCTTTCATATAATCAATACAAAACAGTTTTTTAAAATTGTAATAAAATTGCATTGGTGTAGGATTAAATGAATTTCCACTTTGTTTACGTGCAGCTCCAAAAAAGTTTTACAAACTGTCTTGATTTAGTTAATAAAATCTAGTCTAAGTCTCCTAGTTAATAAATACTGAATAGGAACTAATAATTGTTGTAAATAATTTCATAATTTTAGTATGGAATTAATTGTAATAATCCAACATTTTATTGATTTAATAGAATTTGTTATATCTTTTCCGTCTTTTCTAATTACTTTTACGCTTTGCAAAAACTTTATTGTTTCATTTAGATAAGTAACTTGTTCGTTAGTATTTGTAAATGCTTCCTTATTAGGATTGCTGCTGTAAAGTTTGGAAGAATTTAAAGTATCAAATAATTTATTAAATTTTTCTATAAAATCTGCTGTAAAAGTAGCTGCAGCAGGTAAAGAATATAAACTAACATATGTATTTATACCAGCTGAAACAGAATGGCTTAATACCTGTGCTGTGTATTTCACTTTCATTTTTTCAAAATTATTTGGGTTAATATGGCTATCAGTCAATCTAGGAGCCGCTCTAAATTGTGCCTTTTTATCTATTGTATAAAAGTCTTTTATATGTTTCCAGGAAGCAATTTTATCGCCATATATCAGGTGTAGTAAAAAGAAATCCATTATTTTTCCAATAGATGGCTTTAGTTATCTGTATCTCGCGTTGTATAAGTCCGATCGGGTTCCACTAGATGGCGTTAGAAAGATGAGATTTCGTACTAAAAAAACTTTCCTGACAGTTTTGTGATTAGTTGACTCAGTTTTGTTTGAGCGCGCGTCAAAGATGGACACTAGCAAAGAGAAAATACGCTATATTTTACAGTTTTTCTTCGATAAAGGTGAAAACGCAAGCCAGGCGGCTGAAAATGTGAATAGTGTTTATGGTCCTGATACTGTAACAGCCAATCACGCGCAATTTTGGTTTCGTCGATTCCGTTCCGGTAATTTCGATGTCAAAGATGCATCACGCACTGGAAGGCCAATTGTCGAAAATATCGATAAAATCATGGACATTGTCGAGTCCGACCGTCATGTAAGCACTGTTTCGATTGCCCAAGAGCTAAAGATTGCACAAAAAACCGTTTGGAACCATTTGAATAATGGAACGTTAATCCACGCCCAACCCTGTCCGCCATCTCGGCTAGAAAGGGGCGGACAGCCTCGGCCGTTCGACGCCCGAATCCCCGGGGGTCGGACAACAAGTCCGCTCACTTCCCCAGAGTCCGGGCTCTGGCCTGGGACTTCAGGGCCCTCACTCCCCTGGCCATTAGCTCCCCCTCCTCGCGGAGCTCATGCACCCGCCAATAGAGAATATGTCTCCCCTCGGCGATGAGCTCCACGGGAGGGGAACCGGCCAGGGCTTCCGCCGCCATATGGGATATGGTGCGGTACCCCCGAATGGCCTGTATGACCACCGGCCGCAGCGCCTGGCGTATCAAGCGCTTACTGCGGTCGGTAGCCGCCAGCTGGGGCGCCCAAATAGGCGCCCTGTACAGGACCATCAAGAGCACCACACCGACGTAAAGGCGGCGGGCTCTCCATCCTGGACCTCCCTGGGCGCGCATCAGGCTGGCTACTTTTAGCCCTGTCCCGCGCACCTGGGGGTCAAATTCCTAAAATGGGCACAGAAGTCCCACCGACTGTCCAAAGTGAGGCTCAGATATTTCATCGTTGGCCCTACCCGAACGTGGATTCCATCGACGAGGACCCGGGTCGGCGGCGGCGCCCCGCGACTGCATTCATGAAAAAACATGCATTCAGTCTTATGGGGCGCCACCCTGAGACCCAGGTCCCGGATTTCACACACCACCGATGCTAATGCCACCTCCACTTGGAGGCGGGCTTCCCCTAGGTCTCCCCCTCGGCAAGCACCAATGTATCGTCTGCGTAGCAGACTACATGGGCCCTGAAGGGGAGGGGAGTGCGCAGCACCCGGTCGAAGGCGATATTCCACAACAGGGACCCCAGAACGGACCCCTGTGGAACACCAGGCTCCATAACGGCCTTGAACCCCGCCTTTTTTGGCGAAGGCGAGGTCTCTGCCCTCGAAGTAGGCCGCCAGGGCCCACCGGAGATAGACGGGCACACCTTGAAATTCAAGGGCCCTGCCTATCTCCGGCCAGGGCAGTGTTAAAAGCGTTAGTGATGTCTAATGACACCGCCATCAACACCCTGCCCCCCCTCTTCACGACCGCCCGGGTCAGATCCCGGACGCACTGGATCGCATCCAGCGTTGAACGTCCGGGCCTGAACCCGAATTGGCGATCGTGGAGGCCCGGCCCCTCCGAGGACATGTGCTGGACGAGGCGGTCAGCTATGATGCGTTCGAACATCTTGGCCGCCTCGTCCAGCAGGCAAATCGGCCTGTAGGCCGACGCGCTCCCGGACGCCTTGTCCTCCTTCGGGAGAAGGACCAGATTAGCCCTTCTCCACTCTGGGGGAAAAACCCCCTCCTTTAGGCACCTGCTCATGGTAACCCGCGTTGCCTCGAACAGGTTTCCCTCGCCGAGGGCGAGAGCCCAGTTACCTGTTATCTCCCCCCTTATGGCTTCATCGCCTTCTACCCCGCTGTCAGCTCCCGCCCCCCTTCAGAGGTGGAGGCCTGTCGCATGGGAGTCGGAGGTGTCGCCACCGGGGTCTGTCCTCTCGAGGGTGGCTCCGGTGTCCTCAATCTCTCTCCTGGCCTTGCCTTCAGTCCTTCCCTCTCCTTCAACAGCCGGTCCATTTGTCCGGACAACTCCCTGTAGGCCGGTTGACCATCCTTCAGTCTCGCCCTCCTGTCCACCAGCCTCATGATGTGGCCGGTCAACCGGTCGTAGGTTGCCACCTGCTCCGGGGTGAGGGCAGAGCTGGACATATAGTCGTCCAGCTCCTTCATCACCCCGCGAACAACCAACCTCTAAGCCGGGGGGCTCCTCCGGCAAGTTATCGTCGAAGGACGGTATGTCGCCGGAGGAGTTCCCGACCTTCTCCTCCGACGAGCTGGAGGAGAAGGAGACTTGGGTCATCACCCTCCTCTTCTTCCTCCTCTTCACCCTCTCTTTCCCTTGCCCGGGTCCTGTAGCCTCTTCTGCTGTTGAGCTGCCCCCGGCAGCCTCGGCATAGGTCCTTCTTCCTCTGGGAGCTGGTGGAGGGGGGATGAGAGCTGTCTCGACAGAGGCCTTCGCAGCCTCTAGCTCCTCTTCGAGCCGTCTATTTTCAACTCGCATCCTCCTAAGCTCCTTTCGGAGCTCCCCCAACTCCCTAGCAGTCGCCGACCCTGCTTCCTCCCTGTCCGCGTCCGCTCCCGTCCTCGCGATCAGAGTCCCTATGATCAACTCCGAGACGACCAGGGCGCAGTTAATCAGTCCGACATACGTTCCTTTCAGGGTTTTAGACCTGTGGGCCATCAGTCGTATTGCCCTGCCCGCCTCGGAGGCCAATTCCGGCGATGTGGCCTCCCTGAATATGGCCCTATACATCGGGTCCCTGTAAATCTCCTCAGCAGGGCGCCCGTCCTTGAGCGAACGGAATATGCCCCTGCTGAGGAGATCCCGGGCCACTTGTTCGTTTCTGGCCAGTTCCTCCTCTTTCCTCTCCTGTTCCTCCTTCTCATTTCTCTCTCTTATCCCTATCCCTTTCCCAGTTACCGGAGGCCTCCCCCTCTTCTTCCTTTCTGGTTCTAGGGTCACCTCCACGACTGAGGACGACCCTCCGCTACTCGTCGTCCCCCTCGGCCTCTTAGTCCTGCCGCTGTTGTAACCGGTGCCTGGTCTCCTTGAAGCGCCGTTGTCGTTGGCTTCCTCTCTCCCTCTCCCGCTGCCAATGTTGCTCGCGACCTGAGAGGGCTGCTCCATCCTTTGCAACACAACTTGGAGCTGGGGGCCAAGTAGGATACCCGAGCGAATCACCGGACCGGTGGTCCGCTCGGACCCACTCTCCTCCCCAGCCCGAGCCGCGGTGCCCTCCTTCACCCCCCTGGTGAATAGGGGGTCGTTGTTTGCCATCCCTTTCTTGGGAAGGGGGGCAGGCCTAGCAACGCCCGGTACCCCATTCGCGTGGGGACCCCAGAGGTGTACGTCCCGCGTCGGGTGGCCGCCCTCAGATCCCGACGGGCTCACTTTGCTAGCCCTGCGGTCAGGGCAGCATGCCTGGCTTGACGCCAGGGAGAGCCGTGGTCCGCTCTCATAAGACGGCCTTCTGGCAGCTAATCCGCCGGGGTCCGCCGCAATCACCTCCCCGGGGGTGGGAAGGTGTGCTGCCTCGCGACCACCTACCACTCCGTGTCCACCATCCGTCCTATAAAAATCGCCCGCAGGCGATAAGCCCATGGACCGGTTACTACACCCGTCCGTTAGGGACTTAGAGTCCGAAGACTCTGCGTTGTTTTTTAAAAGTTTTTCGATGGTCATCATTCTGTTCCCACGAGTACGGCAGGAAGGGTGCGTCGATCCTGGGTAGAACTCCCATATTACCCAGGATAAGGCTAGCATGTCCCTGTGATGCGCCAGGTGCCACGGGTGAGGAACCACTAGCGACAGGTCACGCACCTGACATTCATCCCATAAATGTGGCATGCCTCAGGACCGTAGGATTTTTATAGTTTTTATAACTGTGGTTCTATAGAGGACCCGCCTCGCGGTCCGGCCAATAAAGGCAAGACCCCAGGCCCCAGAGACATGACCTAGGGTTACGGTGTGATAGGCTAGGGTCTGCCGGGATTCGCCTGGATCCCCCGTACCAGGGTGCCGAAACACCCTGGCCCCTCGCAAAACTGTGGGTTTGTACGTGCCTCACAACTACGGGTTTGAATTCAGGGTTTTCCTTCCCCTAGACCGGTTGCCTTCCCGGTTCACGAGCCCGCTCTGCCTGCGCTGTAGGGACCTTTGGATCGTACGAATACGGTCCTCCAGTCCTTATGTAAAACTTGGAGGCAGCTGCCCCTCCAAGAGTGTTACGGATGCTCTTAGTCTGGTCCCTCCGTATACGCCACCCCGGCATGGTGAAACCTGCCAGGGGTCGAACCCCCGCCGGTACAGCCCTGTACGTCATTGGGACACGCAAGCTCCCCCACCACCACCATCACCACGTCAAGGTGGCGTCCACGGGGGAGTAGATGTGTGGGGGCCCCTTTCGGGACGCCCCCAAAACCCCCCCTCGGTGAGGAACCGAGGGGGACCATACCGCACCTGCCCCCCTCCGGGGGGCAGGTCTTCCCTCCCCAGGACTCCCTCCGCCGCTGCACCATGTTTGTCAGCGACGGAGGTCGCATCCCGGTTCAGGGCTATCCCTCCTAGCGCGGATGAGGGTGTTCCCACGAAGGGTCGGCTCACCCCCACCCGCTCCATCCCAGCCCATGAGCCCCGATGGCGGGGCCTCTGCGGCCACTGCGCCACCGGCAAGTCCTATAAGCCTAGGGTGAGGGAGTGTGTGGGGAGAGCTCCATCAGCTCTATCCCCCCACTCCTCCCACCCCGCCTCCGCTAGGAGGGCGGCCGAAACTTCGACCTCCATAGATGCAACCGCCTCGGAGACCCCCTCCGACCTAACTGTCGGAGGTGGGTCCGGCGCTAACGGAGCGGCCGTCGCTCCCGCCGCTACCGGCCCTGCCTGATCCGTGGGTGGTGGAGGCTGGTCCCTCCCAGCCTCCACCATCCCTTCTCTCCTTCTTTGGCCCCTGGGGCCACAATGAGGACCTTGGTCCCTGGTTTGACCGTATCGGCAGCGCCGTCGAGGAGCCGGGGCCGCACGGGTTCAACACCCCTCACCGCCCCGACGCCCCCACCCGCTGCCTTTCTTCCTTTCTTGCGGCGTTTCCGCCGCGGAGGAACTCCCCCTCTTAGCGCAGTCCAGGGGACCGCCTTGCAGGCACGGCCCCCCATTCGGTGGGTCGCGTCCCTTCCCTCTTTTTGGCAGAGGCTGTACCGCACCGCTTCGGCGCATCCCCTCGCCATATGCCCAGCCCCTCCACATCTAAAGCAATGACCCCCCAGTCCTTCACTGGACTGGCAGGTCATTGCCATGTGGCCATAGCGGAGGCATTTGAATCACTGGAGGGGCCGTTCCTCCAGAATTCTAATTCGCGCTCGCGACCACCCCACAATCAGCTGCAACTAGCTTCTGGGCCGGTGCCAACGGGCACCGAACCCAGATTGCTCCCAGCCCCCCAGCAGTCTGAAGGTCACCCGAGGAGCACCCGGTCAGCTTCAAAATTGCTGTCCTAACCATTAAGGGGGTGACCGAGTCATCCAGGCCGACGAGGCGGAGTTCCGCCCTCCTCGCCGGCCTGGCGACTACGGTCTCCCCATACACATCCTCGAGACCCCTGGCCAGGCGGTCGACCTTATCCTGACCATCCTTTCCAGGGATCTGGAGGATTACTCCCCCATTCCTGGCACGTTTTACTTTAAACTCGCCAGGCTCCAGGCCGACCTCTTTGAGGTCGACCTGTTGCCTGGCTCTCGCCATTACCGCACTAATTGAACCCCCCGGCAATGCTGTCACTGTCACGACAGGATTGCGCACGGGGTTCCTAATCTGAGGCCTCTTAGCGGATGGGGAAGGACCCTTCTTCGGGTCCCCCTCCCTTCTGGCCTTCCCACCCTTAGAAGGAGGTGCGGCCTTCCTCGCCACATCTCCTCCCTTCTTGGGAGCAGTTATTGTGTAGCCCGACACCCAGGGGTGTCGCGCCTTGCTACCTCAGCTTGTTAAGCTATACGCAACACTACCACTTTCCATCGAGTTGTCCACAATCACTGAAATGGGCAATGGGAAAATCCAGCAGCGCCTGCGTGGGTCGTACTTCGCAGGATGAGCGGTTTAGTCGCAACACGCGCGTCGACTCCCGTTAGAGTGTCGTCTCGCGTGCCGCGTCCACGGGGAACTACGGGGAGGCCCGCTCATTTGTATCCCGAGCCCGAACACACGCTCTGACTCTTGAGTGCGATAGGATAAGAAAGGAATATATGATATGGTAGGTGGGTTCTAACGGACAGGGTTGTAGAATAGAATAGAGTTGTAAAGTGGGTAAAAGAATCTAGAATAGAGAGAAAGCAAAAGAGAGGAGAATAGAAGAAAACGAAGGTGAAATTGGAAGCCTAGCATGGACCCTTTAGCCAAAGGGATTCCCTACAAAATGCCGAAAATATTGAATAGGCCTCTGGAGTTGACACGAAGTAGTGTGCCGCTTCCGGCCATTTCCAGCTTCCGGCCGGAATGAATTGCCGCAGAGTCTCTTTCTGGGGCTCGAAGTCCGGACATTCCATCAAGTGATGCACCGCCGTGTCTTCGGCCTTTCCATACGCACACAAGCCACTTTCTACGAGCCCTAGGGACGCAAGGCGTCCCCGGAACTTACCGTGTCCAGTGAGTACCTGCGTGACGTAATGGTCCGGCTTCACCCAGCTGGCGTTCACCCTGTCTCGGACATTGTTAAAGAAGGCGCTTGTTATTCGGCCTTTGCTTGAAGAAGACCATCGAGCTTGCCATATATT